TGGCAGAAAACCCACTGGAGGGAAACTGGAGGTAAAAGTGAGACTCAGGGAGCCCCTCAGTGGTCAAGATCTTCAGACAATTACAGAAAATTGGCTGGTCCTTGAACACTAGTTCTACCTGAGGTATGAATACTGCGTCTAAAGATGGTCTGGCCAGAACTTGACAGGGCTACAGATAAACTCTGCTTGAATAATGTCTTTTGTTGACATTGACCTAATTACATGGCTCTGGCTTTGATACCATTCATCTTTATATTCGTAGTGGTGAGTTGACATAATTTCAGAAATGAGGTTACAGAATCTGATTAGTTTGCATATCAAAGATGCTATTTCACAATCATTTGAAATACAGGCAGAGCTTCTAGCATCACCTTTATTTGGAGTAATATTTAGAAAATAAGATTGACAAGTCCTTTCCATGAGGGAGGGTGCTTTCCGTCCATCCTTACAGTAAGCAAAAAACCTTTCAGAGTTAGCAAGGACCCTTCTTCCCATACCACAAGCTAGAGGAGGGCGTTCATTTGTCCCATGAAAGTCTGCTTGACTTCATCTGAAAGGGGAACTATTGGAGATAGGCTTTCTTCTGGATGCTTGAGACTTCTGGGCAGGGAGAAACAGTACAGTTGAATACAGGCTACCTGAAGAGCTGTGCCTGGTGCCCACTGTGCTCATATCAAGTACAGCAGAGGAGCTGTGTGCTGCCAAAGTGGCTGTATATTAGGAGGATGAAAAAGAGATAGGCTTCCCCTTCTTGCCAGCTCCTACGGAAACTGCTTGGTTTTGGAGCTTGTCTTCCTTTCTCATACTCTGCTTTTTAGGTATCACAAATTCTCCCTTCTTAAAAAACAAAAACAAAAACAAAAAAACCCACCAAAACAAAAACCAAAAGCAAATAAATACCAAAAATTCTGGTGTCTTTTTTTAAACTGATTTTCTACGTAAAGTTACTGAAAGCTAAGTACTGGAAGTCCATCTGCCTGTGGAATCTCTAATTCGGCCTACTTTTCTGTATGTGTCTGATACTTGAAAGAAATTCAGATGAGTTGGACACAGTCACTGATGTCCTGAAACTTAGGTCCTCGCTTCTCCCACAGCTTATGTTCATAAAACCACGGAGAGGACATTGACTCGCTAGGGACGGTCGGTTCTCCCTTCAGTGTGTGTGCAAATTGCCCGCAGTCCTAGGGTGTTACTGGCAGGGTGTGACCGTGTTGATCCCTTCTGAGCAGGTATTTGTAGTACTGTGATAGTATGTAGAGTCCTCCGCTTGGACCACGACCTTGCACGGAACAAACCTCTTTTTCTCATGGAAAACAGATGATGTATAAATACATTTTCTAATACAGTTTCTTCCTTCGCTTGAGCTCCTGAAGACTCTGTGCTCCCTCTTCCTTAGCATATTGTTTTGCTTTGCTTTTATAAATGGCAGTTAAGGTTCACAGCGACATCACCTGTTTGCCACACCTTTGCTTCCAAATTGTGTTAGATTTTACAAATTGAGAGGTCTTGTTTCAATATATGAGTCTGCACTTGTAGCAGTAAGGGGACTGTCTAGTGATTTCTTCCTCACGGCCAAGGAGGTCAGTGAGCTGCCTGAGAGCTTCACAGTTAGGCTGTGAGGGACACGCCTGATGGCAGTATCTGAAGTAACAATTTGGCCTTGTGCCGTGACTGGACACCTAAGCATTTTCAATCACTAGAGCTTAATAATTTTGCTCCATTGATTTTTCTAGTTGACCATCCAGATAATTCATTGTCAGCATTTTACATATAATGTGACCTTGAATTGTGAACATCTATTAAGTACTGCATCCAGTAATTGTGTTGTTTGTTGTTTGTTTGGTTTTTTCCCCAGATCCATTGGAATGTTAAAAGATGTGGGATGAACGTATGTAGAAAGATGCTGCTAGCTGCAAGCACCAAAGATGTTAAATGAATGCACTACTGAACCTAATGTCTATTTTGATAACAGCCATAATGCTCATTAATAACTTTAAGGCAAGTGTAAGGCTCTGGAAATTTGCTGCTGCAGGGGATTGTTACTAGTCTACACAAAATAGACAGAATTGCCTTAATGTGGGACTACTAATGTAGCACCAGGATGAATGTTACATTAACTATGCATAGCGGTGTGTGAAAAGTTTAGCCCCTTCAAGATTCCCTGAGGCAGTGCAAAAACTTTTCAGTCGAGTCACAGGTAAGACCTTTACTAGAATTCATTTTTTCAAGCATACAAGCAGCCAGCGTGGTACAGTGAACAGTCTGCTACTGCTTTTTTTGTTCTCTTTTATCAAGGCCTGTTTGGGGTGGTTTTTTTGTTTCCTAAAACAGAGGAGGAGAGCGCTCAGGCAGCAATCTAGTGGCAGTGTGTCCCTCCTCTGTGCATGCCATTGCAACATGAAGTTCAATGGGATGTTGTCTTTCAGAAGAAAAGAATGCAAGACTTCTTAGCAGCAGGTGTTTACAGATATACATTTTTGTTCTGGCTACCAGTTGTCTGCCATGCTTGCTGCACTGCTTGTTCAGTGCAGCCCAGGTACTGTGCCTTCATCCTTTTTCTTTTTTTTTTTTTTTAATTTAAAAAAGGAGGAAAAAAAAAAGTACACTAGACTGCTGCTTCCCAAATGTTCCTTGTATTTTTACAAAAATAGGCTTTTACAGTTCTTCCAGGTGATGGGGAAAATAGCCACACTTTGTCATGTAGGCAACTGGATTATAGCTATTTTCAGGAATGCTTTTGATCAGCAGCATACAAAAAATGGTACCAAATATGTTTGTGTTTTTAAATCTCTGTGAGCTAACAGAAACGACTGATCTCGGAGGAGAGGATGTGCCTGCACTGGGGAGTCGGAGCGCTCCGGCACCAGCTCTTTAGGTAGGGCAAGTTTGTAGACAGAAAGGAGTCCAGACAAGTAGGGCAGCGCTGCCTCTGTCTTCCTGAGCAGATGAAGACAATACAGTGTTTAGTTTTTAATTTCAATAAATTTAATATACAAAACTACATGTTGAAAATAAAAATATAATATGCAGTTTTTTGCAGTGTTAACTAACTGAATTTTAAAAGTACAATTTTTTTTCTAAAACAAGTACTCATTTCTTAACAACATGGTAATTAAGGTCATTTAAAAGGCTATGGTTGAAGCAAACATGTCAGTCACCAGTTGATAGTGTTTTGCACAAACATAATCCAAACCTAAAAGACTTTTGGGGCAAACGAATAGAAGATAAAGATTTTTCACCTCTTTTACTGCATTATTAAGCATAACAATGCAACTGAAGTAACTGGAAAGCCGCTGCTGTGGCAAAGCTGGCGTGCAGGCTCTAGAAGGTAGATTATTAGCTCTTCCAGATACTGAATCTTGCCTACACCACGTAGTGCTGCGCTGTGTCCCAAAGTGTGCAAAAACAGCGTGCAGAGGGGAGTCTGAAAGTACCCCTAGTCCTGCTTTGCTGCACAAATACATAGGAAGGCTAGTGATTGTGTAATAGCTTAAGGTTTGTCCATTATGAAACATTAAGCCGCATTAAGCCAGCCACCTTTTCCCAAATGCCAGAGGTAAGGTTTCACCTTGATGTAACACCTTTTCAAGTGTAGTAGTGTGCTACCTCTTGCTGGCCAGCTTTTATTTCTGGAGTTGGACCCCAGTCCTCTGGCTTGCCTTCTCCAAGTGTTGGGTGGTGACAGCTGTAATTTGCAATATTGGATTTGTCAAACTTTGCTTTTTTTTTAAAAAGCAGTAGCCATTTATTCACAAAAGCGCTCTGTACATATACTGTGCTGTCTTTACATAAAATACATTGCTACCTGTACAGTTACCTTTTCCTTTGCCCAGCTAATGCTGTGTGTTTGTTTAAAAAATATAGCATCAGTCTCACAGTAGCCTTGCACTCCCTTTTATATTTGAAAGGACGCCTGTGTTACTCACATACAGCAAAAACAAAATTATCCCCGCTGCATCCACCAGAACTGACTGTGAGTAGGGACGATGCAATGTCCGAGATGCTCTATTCACCATAAATTAGCCCCTCTCTTCTCAAATTAATTTTCTGTATAGACAGGAGGAGAAACCTTTGCCCCCCTTCCTGGGAGGGACTCAAACCAGCTGCTTTGCATGGCTATGGCTAAAGAAACCAAACCCCTTCTCCTGCTTTCAGCTCTGTCCACTGGTTAGCAGCTTTCCATGGAGACAATAAGAATGTGGAACCACATTTCCTCTGGCTGATTCTCAATTCCAGCTTCACAATGTTGTGGCAGATGTGAGCAGCTGCTTTCCTTACTAAAGCCCTCTCAGGTGAGACCAAGAGCACCGGGCCAAGTGCAAGTGTTCAGAGCTGACCAGAAAGCCTTTTTCAGCAGAACATGCAAAAACAGCCACTCTATACTTTTATCACAGGTAAGCTTTTACATGGTGCTGCTAATATGAAGTGCAAGCTGTCTTGTATTACATGACACTAGCGTTACACTACAGCATACAGCAAGGAGGAGACTTAAAGCTGCCCTGGGTGTTACTTTTCTTTAAAAAGCAGGACCTACTGGGGAAGAGGAATGAGATATAACTGCACTTTAGGGCTAATAGTTCCTCTGCTTCATACAGATTTGTAAACAAAGAACAGAATAGCAGAGTTGTTCTAGGAGATTATAGGAATCTGCAGGGGTGACGGGTTTTTATAGTAAATAGAGGAAAAAAGTAAACTAGCCTATTACACACACAAAACTGCAGTTTACATAATACCGCTTTCAGAGAGATGCCTGCCCTTCTGCTCATTTGGACACATATACAAATGTAGTTATGGCTAGGTAATCTTTCCATATCTCTCAAGGGCTACTCCAAACGTATTTCAACCAATGATCTGGTCAAAATAATGTAAACGTTACTTTTTAATGTCTACAGAATAACCACAAACGGCATTATGATGAGGTCAGAATGGAGGTCTTGATTGTTGTTTCTTGCGTGTCCATCTACAAACAGTACAAGATTGGAGTTTCACTTTTTATTTATGCCCCAGTGATCTTTGCACCCGTTTGAGCATTTAAAGTACATGAGCATTTTTCTAAACAGTAACAGAAGTGTATTAGCTGCAAGGATAGCATAGCCATGTTGTAGTATAGAAGCTGCCCTGATCCTCTGTTTGTTGACAATGCATAGAAGATTTAGAATTATGGAACAACTGTCCCTCCCTCCTCCCCCCCCCTCCCCCAATAGTGTTAACAAAAGCTTAATTTTCCAGTTTTAAAGTGCAAATGATTCAGATACAACTGCTGCTGGAACAGGTCTGAACAGAAAATGAAGTCCTCTTATGAGATGTTTTCCAGAATATAAAAGATGAGCTCCATTATGACTGGCCCCTCACTCAACTGACATGCCCCTCCATGAATCACTGGAACTAAGGCACTGTCCAGGTCATTCATGTATTGAGAGGGCAGTGGCTGTCCATTACTCCCAGCTTGATAACCAACCTAAAAAATACAAAGTAAGAGTGGGTTTTACAGAGAATAGGACACAAGGCTGTGATTCAGTGGGCAGCAAAAGGGAAGTGCTGTGCAGGAGGATGAGCTGTATGAGGTGCTGTGGTCTCTGCCGGGGGAAGTCGGGCACTTGAACAGGATGTAGCAGGCACTAAAGCGGCTTTTCCACTTGTTTTTGTTGTTCTCTGTGTTTCTAGTGGCTGATGTGATAAAAATAGACTCCTTTGTTTAGGAACCGCAGCCTGCATTATCAGATTAAGTCACGCAGTATTTAAAAGCTGGTTGATACTAAGAACACGTCTATTCCAAGGCAAGGCCAGCTGTCTTGCCAGGAGACTCTTATCTCTGCTTGTAGCTCTTGCCGTAGAGCACTCTCGAGGGGACCTTCCATCTGTTTCTCTGCCTCACATGCAGTGTCATCTTTTAAGAACAGCCATGCTTGTCAACAATGTTGTATGCTCACCCAAGAATACATTTAATACATTCCTGTCTTTAACTTCTGGTGAAAAGGCCAATTGAGAGTCTCCTCTGAGCACGTGGCAGGGCTGTTCGCAGGTCTCTGACTACAGAGCAGGTGCTGCTAGTGGCATATGGGGGTCAAGCCTGGTGTTAATTCAGGCTAGGCACTAGCTTTCCAATTTTAACAGATGGCCCAGCAGTCAGCACTACTAGATTAGCATCTGATATTGGGACTTCTTTAACCAAGGGAATGGCTGAATGTTGTATTCCCTTTTTGGGGAGTGAGCAAGGGAAACCCCCCCCCAATTAAACCAAGACTTACTTGATCTGAGTCAAGTGTAACACGCAGACCTAGCTTAGTCATTCCATCTTCTTTCAACAATTTAAGATGAGGACAGAGAGCTAAACAGAAAGCCTTTGCCACGTTTTCAGTCAATCTGCTGTGATCGGCTGGGTCACTCAGACCATTATGTTGCTCATCATTTTCCAGGAAAAACACCTGAAGGAAAGAGTTAACACAAGACATAACATTTGGCTTTTCTAGAAAATAAGATTACTGAAATGCCATTTAAACTTTTTTACGAATGAAGACTTAAGGAAGAGCTGCTCAGGGAAGCCCAGCAAAAGACCCTGAAGACAAGCCACCTTAGGGGGAAAAAAAATAAAAAAACTTCAAAAGAAAGATTTAAATAGTTGTGTTCTCAAAAACCTTTCAGTTCTGGTCAAAAGCCTCATTATGGAAATACACTATGTATTGCACATAGTTTTTAATAAAAACCTGCTTTTAAATAGATGTTAATTTCAGACAATTCACATTTTTAGTAGAAGCCATCCCAGCCTGAAGATTTGTACTATTGTTGTCACTAAACTTAACTCTGTTGAGCCCAACTGACCTGGCAAAAAAGGATACTAAGGTGGCAAGCTGCAGAGTGATTAACTTGGTTCCTCCTGGGCACATGTGTGTGCTGGCAGAGTCACAGGTAACATCAGCTACGCAAGCAGTTTCTGCAAGTGATTTATGCCACAGCACTTACATTTTAACTTGCAACATTTTAGAGAAGGTGGCTCAAAATAACATTTTTTTAAAATAATTATTAAGATTTGTCTCCATTAAAAAGGTAGTTTTTAACACAAATGCAGATGAAACCAACTGTTAACTTGGGTAACACAGTAAGCAAGTATTTTTCTGGTTCCCCCCATGTTCAACAACCATATTCGAGAAGAGGTGGCCAGTGCAGAGTAGGCTGCAGAGGCTGGCTGTGATAGCAGCCTGAGCTACGCATCAGTGATAGGATGTTTTATTCTGCACGATGCTGCACTGCATCTTTCCTTGCAGGTAGGAAAGGTAATACAGGTTTGTTCTGAAGAATTTGCTGCTTTAATTTTGGTGAGTAGGGAGAGCAGGTCGAAAGAAGACTAGGCTGTAGTTGCAATCTCAAAATGCCAAGTGTTGGTTTACAGGCAGCTCCATTTGACTGACTTACCTCTGTCCACCGAATGACCTTTCCGTTTGCCTTGTACTCTGAGCCATGAAATATCTTCACACTTGTTATAGACTCCATTGATTTGCCATCAATAGGGCTTACAACACTGTAAAAGGGAGGGAAAAGGGTAAGTTCCGACTTAGCAGAAGACATGAGCTGAACAGAGACCGCTGCAAGAGAGCAGAGCAGCTCCTCTGCTACACCTGAATCCTCCGACTGCCTCGCTGCAGGTTTTTTCATAACTGAGTGTTCTGCAATTTGAACTGCTACTACACAACAATTTACCACATCAGCTTAATGGGGCATAGACAAAAATTAGCCCCAGAAGGGGACTCAAAGGCTTCTCTCAGGGTGCCAAAACCCGTGGTCTTGAATGCAGCTGCTAATTATGATGATGGTGCTAGGCCTGAAGCTCCATAGTGAGCAGCCTTTCTGGAGGGAAGAGCCGAGAGGCAGCATGCTCCCTGCTGTCCCCTGCAGCTCCTACCCCGACACACACGCTGGTCAGTAAGCACAAACCAGGTGCAGGAAGGACCTTCCCAAAGGTTTTCAACAAAGCTTTGCACTAGAGCTGAGATCTCATAAGGTGCTAATACAGCAATGAGGTGTTTCTACAGATTTGATTTTTATTCAGTTGTAACCACAGTGTAGGCCAGCAATACCTGAAACACTACTTACACAGCCCAGAATTTAATTACAGAACCCAAGACTGACCTGGAAAGCCTGAAACTACAGAAATATCCTTCCTTCTAGATGCTGAGTTCTTAAACATTGTACCCATCACAACAGCATTTTACTGCCATAAATACCTAAGCTGCCATATACACCTTTCTTTTGGCTTAACTATCAAGAGTCCAAATATACTGTTGATGTTCAGCAATTTTATTTCCAGCACTACTTAATGCAAACTAAGCACCAAGAGAGCAAAGTGACCACAATATGCAGGGGTTCAGCACTGAGTGTTGGAGACAGATTAGTGGTTTCCAATAACTGGATATTAGCAATGGCAAAAAAATCCATAGCATTGACATCAACTTTCTAAATTGATGCCCCAAAGTTCTGCTATCTCAATTCTATTTTCATTACATTTAATTGCATCTTATCACTCAAAATAGAGGCACAGACTTGTAAGTCCTATTGATTTGAAAACTCATGCACCTTATAAGATCAATTAAAATTTTTAACAAGTACAGTCCGTCGGTCACCAGTCAATGTCAAGCGATTGACTTACTAAAGTTTTTATCATCTTCTTACTTACCCCTTACTAAAGTTTTTATCATCTTCTACCCACTGAATATGAACGTGTTCCTGAGGATCTTCAGCATCTACTTTGCCACAAGTGATGGTGAAGTCTTTCATCTCTCTCAAGGCCTGCCTCAAAGAGTCCATGCTCTCAGCAGTTATCTGGACCATTACTCCATCTAGGGAACCAAGAAATCCTCATAAGCCAAGATAAGCCACACTGAACAGAGCCTATATAAAAAAAGAAATAAACATCCTTCCTTTTTTTGCAACAGAAAGGTTAAACGTCTATTTTAAGAGTCATAGGCAGCAATGCTACATAAGACCATTTCTGAACTCTCAGATTCCTAAAACGTAGCTCTAATGAGCGTTGACTAGGGAAAACACAGGGATAATGTGAAGTCCACCTACCAGGTAAAGTCAGCTGTAGCAATGGCCACATTAGTTTGCCTCAAAACTTGACACTGGCTCTAGACAACCCTCGGAAACCCCATGTGACCCCCCTCCGTTCAGCTATCACCTCTGTGGGCACTGGAAGCAGCACTCCAGCAGTGACAGAGTTTTGGGAAGTCAATGCTTGCCTGACAGTGGCAAACGATACAGAATTTGGATTGGATCAGTCTAAATTACTGCAGAAATAACAGGAATGATACACTTCCCCAGTGTACAGACTCTGTCTTGCACTAAACCACCAATTTAGACACAGAAAATGGTATAATGACCTACATATACTGACTTACAGTGAGATGGCTGCTTTTCAGCCCTGGGTGACCACTCACCCATGGACTGCACACTCACACAGCTGCAAGCTCTCAAGTTGGCGCAGCTTAAGGAGTTCCTGCTCGTCAGTGGAGCTGTGCTAACTGACTGCCCGCATGGGCTTCGTGCATACCTCACTCACAAACTGTAAGGAGCACACTTAAAACACTGCTGTCTGCACTGTCACATCTGTGGTGAGGTTAGACTACAAAGTTCTGTAGCTCAGCTAACAAGCAATAACGGCTTTCAATCCAGTGTACGCAGTTGGCATTTATTTCTGTGATATGACAACTAGTAAAAGAACAACAAACCAAATCAGAGAGGTACCAGCTCAACAATCTCAACTGCTCGTGTTCCCGTCTGCCCACATACAAGCAGCTAAACAATGCACGTTCGTAATCTTGCATAATGCAGAGCTATTTGGGAACAGAGTAAGTTTAGCAGGGCTTCCTCTCCTGGCGGTGGATTACACATTCCGTGTTTCTTAGGCTCACTATTTCCTCATTCAACCCAAACCAGTAAACTGATCACAGGCTCACAAGCCAGATATTTCATATCTTGCCCTCATTTTCTTGTGTCCCTGTTCTACAGCATCTGGACAAGTTCCTCCTCATTAAAGGAAATGGGGGTTTTTGGCTAAAAAGTAGGATAAAGCTGAAGCAGCAGCGTGTTCAAATGCCCAAGGCATAACAGGAGAGCCCTGGTAACTACAGAGCTGAGCCGTGTTAAGAGGGAAGCAGTGTGTTTTAAGCAAGCAGTTCAGTTCTTACCTTCTACTATACTGGATTTGGCAAGGTAGCCTGAAGAGGATTTTAAAGCTCCACTGAACACAAAGAAGCTGGCACCAGTCACTGCAACAACAACAAGAGTGATTTAGTGAGGCTTTCGTCAAAACAATGCCTTACACAAGAATCGGGTATCTCAGCTCTATCATCCAGAGAGGTGATTAATCTAAATCATGACAAATGCTGCTTAGAATTATGGTGACTTTAATGCATATCACAGGCTTGGATACAGAAGGGCAAATCACCCAGTTATTTTCTAAACTGGACAAGTTTTTGTCAACCTTAATGAATGCTCATATTTCATCACTCTCCCTCTCTCCGTACACACCTTTAAGTTTCAGGACTACTAATTTAGGGTAACCAAGTACATAATTACCTTCTAACTGTGACCACACAGCTGCTAAAGATTGTGAGCGAGCTGTTTATGGATCACACTGTAACACCAACCCACTGGCAAGGCCATAGCTCAAAGCCCCCTGATTTACAGTAAAATTCTCTTAAATGACCACT